CAGCACCAGATGTCACCGAGATAGAATCCAGTAGGTCACCGATATGGTAGTCCAAAATGTCATCGAACAAGATCAAAATGTCGTGGACAACAAGTCGCCAATGTCGGACATACAGAGTCCTAATATAAACGGTGTCCAATCTGTGATGCCGCCGAGTATCAACCCCAACAATCTCCAAGTCTTTTATTCGGTAAGTACCACAGCCTCTTACCACCGAAGTCCAACACTGATCTCTGTCCAACTAGCATCAAGTCTCCAATCTGAAGAAGAAGAAGAAGAAGAAGAAGAAGAAGAAAACAGAGGAGGAAAGAGGTGAGGAGGAGGAGAACCAGGGACTGTGGAGGGAGGAGACGACCTCACCCTCGAGTACCTGGTCTGCTGCAACTGCCTGGAGCCGAAGTCGGCTATGGCTGTCCGCTGTCTGGCTCCTCGCTCGCTGCTGCTGCTGCGCTAGCCGCGCTGCTGCGGCACCTTCGAGCTTGCGCTAAGAATAGCGCAGCGTTACTGCTCCACTGTAACCGAAACGAACTGGTGCTACCGCAGCGTCCAGTTGCTCGATGCCTCGAAGTGAGGCGGCCGGTACTAAGTACCGGTGGGGTAGAGGCCGGCCTCAATGCTGCGAGGCCTGGCTGTGATCTGAACCGTCAAGATCGACGATTCATATCGGATCGGCGGGCGGCAGCCTCAAAAGCGCCGCCAGGCCCAAAACGAGAATATCGTTTGGGCCTGCCTGTCGGTCTGGTCCAAAATGTGGCCTTTTGGCCTGTCGTATCCCCAAGTCTGGGCCTTTAGGCCCTACTGTATCCCCTCGGCCCTAAGTCGGGTCCGCTAGGGCCTGTGTGGCGTCGAAGATGTAACACACTCCCCCTCTTAAAAGGCCGAGTTACTTGCGAGGGCGGAGTTGGCTGTCCGATACCGGGGTGGGTCGGGCGGGACAAGCTGCTTCCTTGGCAAGTCGTCGCTTCTCATAGTTGGCGAAGATAAGGGGTCGAGAAGTCTGCAAGTCTGCACGAGAGATCCACCGAGTGTCGTCAGGCGCACATTGCTTGAATGTGATTTTGAACTGCATTGGCTTGTTGCCATAATTGCGGTGCGTGATGACTCAGTCGACTTCCTGATGTCCGTCCATAGAAGGCGGATCCTGTGATCGTCGGCCCGAAAACTCGTCAGCTGAAGGTGGCGTGTAGATGGCCAGCATCGACGCGTGGAAGACCCGATGCACTGTAAGGTGCGGTGGAATGTTGACCACGAAGGAAGGACCTGCGGGGTCGTCTCCAACGGTTAGTGACTTCCCATGGTCCGAACCATTTCGGAAGGAGTTTGCGCGAAACGTCCCTTGAGCACAAATTCCTCGGAGAGGACCCAAACAAGGTCTCCCTCGCGGAAAGGACATGGAAGTCGACGTCGGTTAGCTTGCTGTTGCATGCGGATTTGAGCCTTTTGCATATATGTGCGGGCTTTGATCAGCAAGTCCCGGTACTTTCGAACGGAAGCGGGAGAGCAAGGGACGTCTATGTCGGCAGCCTGTGACAAAAGGAGATCAGCGAAGATCCGTGCTCTCTCAATGTCGGGAAGCCGGTCAACCCAATCTTTCTGGTCGGGATGTATGAGCGTACGCAACATCATCTGAGCGGTTTGGTGCGCTCGCTCCGTCTGGCCATCCGTCTGCAGGTGCCGAGCCGAGCTCGGCTTCATTGTTGTACCAGACTCAGCCATAAGGGAAGTCCAAAAGGCCGACAGGAAGCGAGTATCTCGGTCGCTCACTGTCTTTCAGAACGCCCTGGTTGGTAATCCAACCGGTGTACAAGAGTCGTGCGAGCTCAGGCGCCGCAACATGATTCTTGCAAGGAAGAAAACGAGTACTTGCTCAAACGGTCAACGACCGTGAAAATACCGTCATGGCTGAGGCGATCGCGACGGAACGGGCTGTAATGTCCATAGCAATGGAGAGGCCGGTGCCTGAGGAATCGGCAACGGTTTCAGTTCGCCGAAGGGGACTCGAGATCGACCCTTGTTACGGTGGCAAACTGTACATGACTCAATGGCAGATCGTCGTCGAGGTCGGATGGCGTGGTCACAATGGCACAAAAATCGGGCTGTCGTGAGAGGGCGCCCGCAACTCGATTGGCGGGACCGGGAATGTGGTACGGGTCAAAGTCGAACTGGTTGATGTAATACATCCATCGACCGATCGTGCTAGTGACCGTATCCTGCGTTTTGTAAAAGGTCAACGGATTGTTGTCTGTATTCCATTTAAAACGCCGACGACCGAGAAGAAACTGGCACCACCGTTTGAGAACGATGACGAACGCGAGTAGCTCTTTCCTTCTAGCGTCGTCGAGAGTGTTGACGAGAGGCACCTTTTGGGAGAAATACTCGACCGGGTGCCAACCGTCCTCGTGACACTGTTCCAACACCGCACCAATACTGTATCCCGAAGCGTCCGTAGTCACTTGGGTGGGAAGGGTGGGGTCGTACATACGGAGGGCAGGTGCGGCTTGCATTGCTGCCTTCAACGTATTGAACGCGCCACGGGCTGCGTTGTCGAACTCGAAGGGCACCTTTGGGGACTGAAGTCTCGACAAGGGAGCGGCCACTTTCGAGTATGACTCGACGAATCGCTGATAATATCCAGCCAAACCCATGAAAGAGTGTACATCCGTCGTGCAACGGGTTTCCGGCCAATCCACGAGGGCTTGGATCTTGTCCGCTAAGGGACGAATGCCTTTCGGCGCGACATAATGACCCAAGTACTCAAGCTCCTGCTTGGCGAACTCACACTTGTCGAGATTCGTTTTGTACTTGGCCAGTCGCAAACGATCCAAAACAGCGCGAAGGTGTACGATGTGCTCGTCCAACGTCCTATTATAAACCAAGATGTCATCGAGGTAGATGAGGAAGCTGTGATCGAGCAAGTCGCGAAACTCGGTTGTCATAATTGCTTGGAAAGTTGCGGGGGCATTGGTGAGGCCAAATGGCATGACAACCCACTCAAAGTGCCCGTACCGCGTCTTGAACGCGGTTTTGTACCCATCTTGAGGCTGGATTTCAATCTGGTGGTAACCTGACTTCAAGTCCAACTTCGAGAAGTACGTTGCGCCGCCTAACCGCTCAAGGAGATCATTGATCCGAGGGAGAGGTCCGGCGTTCTTTACGGTTTGTACGTTAAGTTTTCTATAATCGATTCATAACCGTAGATCTTTGTTCTTCTTTCGGACGAAGAGAACAGGGGCACCGTAAGGTGAACAACTAGGCCGAATCCAGCCCTTGTCAAGGAGGTCGTCGAGTTGTGCGCGAAGCACCTCGAGTTCCTCTTCGCTCATGCGGTAAATGCATCCACGCGGAGGGACGGCGCCAGTCTCGAGAGTGATCCCATGACGTATGGGCCGATCCGGAACCGTTTCGGTGGGAGCCTCGAAGACGTCTCCATACTCGTCCAAGAGGTGAGAAATGCGTGGGTCCGGTGGTGATGCGGCTGGTCCTTCCAGGGAGGGAAGAGCATGCAAGAATACAAGACCCATCTCCTCGACGTCATTTCGAGCTATGGCGTCGCGAATTCTCGCAACGGAAACCACGTGACAGGCAATCGAAGTGTGAGGGGTCGCGATCGTACATGGGACTAACACTCCGTTCCGATCACGGATGTAAGTTCACCGGATGATCGGCGCTCCGCAACCAAGACATGCCTAGAATCATGTCGAACTTGGTGTCGAGGATGTCAAAAGACACCGGCTCGCACGCAAGTGGTGCAAAGTATACCGGAATGTCGTCGACGCATCAGTGAATTGACTTTTGCGTTCGGTCGTCCGCGAGTATAACTTGCATAGGTTGCGTCTTCCTTCGAATGCGCGGGCCAAGGCCTGCGCGGGCCATAAAGGCTTGGCTCATGAAATTGCGAGATGCTCTGCAATCAATCAAGGCACTGCAAGTTGCCTTTCCGATTTGGATGCGGATATAGAGGAAAGGCGCGTTGGTCTCTGCGTACCTTTGGGTGGCATACTCGCAGTCAATCTTTGCAAGATAGGAGCGGAGATCGACAACCGCTACTCCGTCGTCCGTCAATGGAGCTGGTATTGCAGTGTGCAAATAGGAGCGTAGATTTGTCATCAAGGCGTTGCAATGCGGCCTTGGCAAGGTTCCGGTTGAAGGTAGAGGCATCCAAGCGAAGTCCTCTCTCGTGAGCGGGTCAAGCTCCTCAAGTCTTGACCACGCCGTCGAGTCCTTGGAAATCAGTGGCGAGCTGACC